GCTTTTATCAAGTTGCTGTGTAGTCCAATGTTGACAAAACTTTATAATAAAAAATAGGAAAAATGGTGTCAAAAAATAAGTCAGCTTCAGTTACCTTCAGCAACCTACTTTTTATGTATTTCACAGGAAGCAGGTCATAGCACTCACAGGACTATGACCTGCTTCCTAGGGCATACATAAAAAGTTGGTTGCTGAAGATTACTGAAGGCAGGTTAAGAAAGTTGGGGCTGTTCAGTCTGGAGAAGAGCAGGTTGTGTGGAGACCTCACAGCAACCTTCCAGTATCCCAAGGGGGCCTACAGGGAAGCTGGTGAGGGACTCTTCCTCAGGAACTGCAGTGACAGAACAAGGAGTAATGGGTTCAAACTCAAAGAGAGGAAATTTAGGTCAAATATATGGAAGAAATTCTTTACTGTGAGGGTGGTGAGGCACTGGAACAGGCTGCCCAGAGAAGCTGTGGATGTCTCATCCCTGGAGGTGCTCAAGGCCAGGCTGGATGGGGCTCTAGTGAAAGGTGTCTCTTACCATGGCAGGGGGGCTGAAACCAGATAATCTCTAAGGTCCCTTCCAACTCAAACCACTCTATGAATTCATGCTTTAACCCCAAACCTAACAGTATTCTTTTTTAAAGGCGATCTGACGTGTTATTTCTGTGCTAATTGCTAACAGCAGATCTCGGTAAGTGTGTGCTCAGCCTCGCATACCCAGCAAGGCTCTACCACCAACACACCAGAGCGAGAGCAGCTCCAGCCCAGGCCCTCTGCTGTTTTCATGGCTCAGTCTATTTACTGAAGACTACGCCGCATGACGGTATTTAAGTAAACACACTCCACTCCTCCACCAAAACTAATCCTTCAACATGTTTTCACAACCGGTTCTCAACCCCAGCGCCGTGCCCGAATCAACCCGTGTCGCTTCATTCTCAAAAAAGTCGATGGGCTGCGTGAGAAAGGAAACAAACGGGCCGCGTCCGAGCGGAATGAATGTGTTCCGATACCCCGAGGAAGCCGCCGCACATCCTGTCTCTGCCCCTCGCTTTGAAGCGCTGCCCCGCTCCCCGAGCGCTCCCCAGCGCTGCTCCCCAGCGCGGCCGCGGTTCCCACGTTACCGCCCGAGTGGGCGCCCGCAGTCAGCACTTCCGAACCACCAAAATAAAGCCACCGGCCCCTTTCTCCGCCCCCCTCCGCTCGCACACACGCGGCGCCGAGGCACGGGAGCACCAGTGACCGCTTCCAGAACAGCCCTCCACCACCAACTTCCTGCACATCGCTCTAATTTCGCAATTTCTGCCTGACAAACAGACTCCGGTGCCCGAGGTCCGGGCGGGAGGGGGCATTTCTGCTGGCTCAAGTGAACCCTCGCCGCAACGGATGCTTCCCAGCCCCTGCGGGCCTCCAGCGGCCCCGCCGCATCCACCCATGCACGCATGCATGCATCCATCCATGCACGCCCCCATCCCGCCCTCCCGGCCCCGGCCCCGCGCAGACCCCGGCCCGCCCGCACGTGCCGCCGCTCCCGCCACAAAGGCCGTTCGCGGGGCCGCCGCAGCGCAGCCCGACCCCGACCCCGACCCCGACCCCGCACCGGCCCGCGGCCCCTCCGCGCCCTCCCGCCCCCGCCCCGCCGCCTCCAGGGCCCCCGCGCCAGCGCCCGCCCCGCCGCGCAGAGGGAGCGGTGGAGCCGGGGCAGGAGCGGGCACCTGAGCGCGCCGGCCGTAGGCGCCCGGCTCCGCCACAGTGCCGCACTTACAGATCTTCCCCCGCAGGTTCTGCAGCACCCGCACCTCGTCGCCGCCGTCCCCGGCCGCCATCGCGCCAGCGCCGCCGCCTGCGCAGTGAGCGCCGCGGGGGCAGGGAGGGAGCGGCCCGGCCCGACCCGGCCCCGCCCCCGCCGCCCGCGGGAACCACGCACCGGCCCGGGCGGGGGGCGGCCGCGCCTGCGCCCTGTTGGCGCCTCCCGCCGGGCTGTGCGGGGGCTCCGCCCGGGGCCCTGCGGTCCCGCCGGGTTGTGGGTCCGAGGCCCTGCGGTGCCGCCGCGCTGCCGGGCGGCTCCGGAGCGCTGTGCGCCCGTGCGCTCGGCCCGCTCCGCGCCTCCCCCGACCGCCCGCTCCTCTGCGGGCACGGTCAGGACGAGAGGACATGGGCTTAAGCTGCGCCAGGGGAGATTTAAGTTGGACATTAGGAAGGATTTCTTCACAGAAAAGGGTGATCAGACACCCAGGGAGGTGGTGGAGTCACCGTCTCTGGAGGTGTTTAAGGAAAGACTGGACGTGGCACTCGGTGCTATGGTCTGGTTGATGGGGTGGTGTTGGGTCATAGGTTGGATTCGGTGATCTCAGAGGTCTTTTCCAACCTAAGGGACTCGGTGACCTGTGCCTCCCAGAGGGGCAGGGGCTCGGCAGCCCAGCACGCTGAACGCTGTGTTCGCCGCGCTGAGATGGGTCACATCGAACGGCCAGGACAAGTGGTGTGTCTGCCTGCTTTGGTTTGGGGTGCACCGAGCGCCTGCCTCTGTGCAGAGCACGCCATGGGCTCCGTCGGATCTGTGCTGCTCTCACTGGCTCACGTTTGCCTGTTCAGCTGTGTAAGAAATGCCATGAACCAAGTGTGAAATGCTTGTCTGCCAGCGCTGCCCCAGAAGCAGGTGTCTCACTGCCTGCAGACTGCCATGGGCAACACCTCCCTCAGGAGTCCCAGGGTACCCAGAGGTGTTCACAGGCACGCTCCAGCGGCTCACCACCTTCAAGAATCGAAGGGTCTTCACATTTTATAGCAACGTTTCTTGTAGACGCAGATCCTAATGTGAAACTCTGGGATCTGGCTTATATAACACCTGGACTTGGCCCCAGTCTGCATTGGTGGTGGGCACCTGTCTTGGGCCTGCATAATTCACCAGCCGCAGGTGTCACATCCACTTCGGTGTCACTGAGGGTCAGGCTGAGGGTACATCAGCTTCCAGGCCTTTAGGAAGAGTCTGGTGAAAGCCTTTAGAGACTGACATACCCTAAAAGACAGGTAGTTCAGCAGGCTAAAACTGTTTCAGAAAGCAGCATAGGACTAGGGTTCTTCACTTTGCACCTAAAAAGCCCTCTTCAGTCTGTCCTGTTAAAGGGAAGTCTGCAGGCCAGCATCTGTCATATGTCTCTTAACTGAAGTCCCCTGCTGTGGTACAAATTTCTGCACGAATCTTGCCGTTACTACTATGATACAGCATTGAGCCATATAATCCGACAGCCACTGCTGCACCTCATTTCTTGGTGGCTTTTCCTGTGTCCAACTTCTCACCTGCTGCTCCCTCAGCTGTGGTGACGTTCCTTCCTCATCCCCACACTCCACATGGTGGTTGGGGGATAACAGATATGTTTAAAGGTGGCGGGCAGGGAGTGGTGGGGAATGAACTGTTTCATCACACCACTAAGAGCTGTATTTGTGTGCATGCAAAACCTAAACCTGAACAAAGACACGGGTTTGCATAAGCTGAATTTTAACCTGTTGGAAATGAGAGGTTCCTCTACAGTACAAATTGAGGAGTTGATTATGTACAGTTGGCTGTCTAGGCTGGCTGCCCTGCCTGGCTGGTGAACTGAGGCTAACCCGGGCAGAGTCAGAGCTTTGATCTGAGAAAGGAGCAGGGCAGCACTCTGAGAATGGACATGTGTGCTTGAACTGTGTGTTGCCTCATTTTGAAAGTTAGATCGTGTGACTCTACTGCCTCCATACTCTCTCAAAAGTTATGACTACAGTTGGGGTTTAATGTTTTAACTTAATATCAGCTTTCTTTGAAGCATAGACCTATCAACATTATTTTCTGCCATTGCCTGATTCCTGACACTCCCTTTTATTTTAAAAAAGCCTTGTTTTTAATCTTGCATACCATATTGAGAAAAATGTTTCAATTGCATAATGTTCATTTTTTACCTCTCTTGAAGTTGCATTTTGGGAGCATCTGTATGACAGGTAGGTCTGTGCAGCTAAAGGCTACGGTTAAAATAAACACTGGTGTGCTGCCTTGCAGACTTAGGGGAAGGATTTCTTCATTTAACAATGAGGATGGATCTTTGCTCTTGTGAGGTAACCTGACAGCCAAGGTGTTGAACTGTCAGTGGTAACTGCTATATTAAGGATGTTTAGAACAAATAGTAGTGATGATGACATGCAGTGGCTTACTTCAAATGCCTGGAGTTTAGCTGTGTCATGCTATCTCGTTTCACAGAAGACAGCAATATGATTGAGTACGTTTGTTCTAATTTTAGGTATGTCATAACTGAGGATTGACTAACATTTTGTTTAGATGCAAAAACTCCATGATGATCCACTTGCCTTTTTAATTAGTATTTGAAATACAGAAAAAAAAGTATTTGTTACAAGTAGCAAACTTCCAATTTTTTTTTTGGTTATACATCTCTCCTGAGAACCTTCCCAAAATGACCTGCATAATTTAGCTTAAATTTAATTTTTACTGCAGGTTATAGACGAGTGACACCTAGCTGAAGGGGGAAGTACTTTGAATATGCATAATCTTCCATTTTATATGTATCTTCATATTTTCATATGCAATTCGATATTTGCATTTTGAACTATGTTTCTTCATAGTGGTTCCAAAAAGTTCAAGTACAGTATGTAAAATACACAATCTATATTACAAAGATTACTATCAGAATGGAAAAGAATTTTTCAAGTTTCAGGTCCTCATGAACACGCTTAAGATGTTGTAAAGTACTAAACACAGTTCACCTGTCTTCCAAGTCCTCTGAGACACTGAGCAGGTAGATTGTGTTCTGCTGAGCACTGTGCTCACCCTAAACAGTGCCAGGAGATACCATCACTTCCCTTGAGCTCTGGCATGTTCTCAGTTTGCTGGTTTGACTCTAATGAAGGGATGCTTAGTAACTGTGTTGCTTAATCTTCTAACAAAATAAGTATTAGATGATACGTATCTGTGGATCTTATAGACTATATAGGTATTAAAACAATTTAAAAAATGGAGAGACTTACAGAAAAATAGGAATATGTTGTTTTAATTAAGCAAAAACAGAGTTATAATCACTCTTTCTAAAAATAAAATTAGACTCTTTATCAATCCTTAACATCTGCATTTAATATTTTCTTCTAAACAAAAATACAGATGTGATTATGTAACAAATTACAGTCTTTGACAACGTATAGTATTTACCTTCTCTTACACATACTTTAATTCTAATTTGGTCATTAATACTCAATTAATTACTGCAACGTGTTACTTGTAGTAAAAGTGCCACAACTGAACTATAAACATGACATTGCCATCTTAAAACTGCTTTGCTATAAACTGTAGAGAATATACAGAGTTACAAAGTTGTTGTGTTTTTATCAAAATATACAAACCCCCCCAACCTAATGCAAGCTAACAATATTTTTCTCATGAACTATACAGTTATATAAAATATTTGTAAAATTATCTTTGTATTTATAAATATTCTACCTTATTTGCTTTGGTCTATATTTATCACCATACAAGTCCACTTAGAAGATATCTTTGTGTACTTTCTTTGAAGCATCATTATATTTTCCTGTGTTTTATTATTCTGTTATCCTTATTTAAATGGAACCAAAGCTACCATGAAGCCAAAATTTCTCAAGGTGTTCATAGCATTCACCAGTGATAGAATAAGTAAGTGGACTATATTATTACTTCAATCAATACTGTATTATCATTTCAATTGTAATTTTATTGTACCCAAGCTGTAATTTCTCTTAAAATATTCGAGAAGACGAAGTTAAGTAACAAACTGTGAACCATCACACAGAATGAAGCTGAGGATCACTAACCCTTGTCCTGACTTAATTTTTTAACACTTCACAGGGATAAACATACATGAGTAATTGGAAATGCAGATACAGTACAACAGAGCCCTATCATATAAAATGCAACTCGTAGACATACACCCGCTTTGACTTTTTTTGAACATCTCAGTTAAAATTTATCACATTTCCACAAAACAGTGTTAATTGGAATATTTTGGTGATGTCTTTCAGACAGTCCTTAGTGAACTGTGAGGCTGTGAGGCTGTAAGGCTCACCAAGACCTTCGGTGTGGCGGGATGAGGGAGGCAGGAAGGCCAACACTCCTTCCTCCAGCCCATTCCCAGCACCTCTCTGCTATGGGCCACGGGACACTGCGGCAGAGCCTGCCGGGGGCCAGGTGCTGGCACACTTGGGATCACCGAGAAGGGACATTTGAAGGTTAAAAGTTGCATTTAAGGCATGGAGATGACAGGGAACCCCACAAACTGCCCCTGTTCCTGTTTATACACAAGGACTGCCTCAGGGATATATATGAAAGCAAGAATCTTATTTACCAACTCCTCTCAAAATCAAAGTATTTATGGGGAATTGCTCTGTTGTTTGTGTCTAGGCATTATTCTAGGATGAGGAAAAAAACTCTGTCTGCATCTCCTCTTCTGCTGAGAAGAATGATATTTCTAAAGACAGGAGTTGCAGACCCACCAGGAGGTGGACATTTCTATACAGGATTTCTTTAAGCTAGGCTGTTTCAGGACAATTTCCTTAAGACCAATGCACCTGAATAGCTCACCAGGCCATTGACATAGGGATTTAAGCAGTTTGGAAGACTGGCTATAATGACTTCTACTGAATGGTTATTAAATGTCTCAGAGATATCATAAATCTGGAATACTCTCCACACAAGCACTCAGACTTAACAGTTATTATGGTAACTACAAAACTGAATATGGAAAGGAAAAGAGTAGTTTAAACTCCTGACTATGTTTTGTAAATGTTGGAGTTACAGAAAAGCACAGCAGAACTCAACTGTACTTCGGTACACTCGAGCCCATGAAACACTTCCCACCTTCACTGTAGAATACACTAGATTACAGTTATGTCCTTTATAAACACGTTACTTTTTGTTTTAAAAAATGCAATATATAGTTTCTGCAGCAAAAAATCCTTCTACGGAATACACCATGAACCTACTTATTTCTTTTGCCTAGAACGATTCTGACTCAAAACCAGCACTGTAAAATAGTTCAGTGACCAAGTTACCTGTAATGTTAAGTAGAAGGGTTTTGGTTGGTCATTTTTTTCCTTTCTCTCTCTCTCTCCAAGAGTCTATTGTGGCAAAAGTATTTTGGGTATTTCACATTAAGTTTGTATTATTGCAAATACTAGTTTTTCTGTTATTTTTCCTTCTTTTGCATATACTGACACACATTTAGATGAAGAAACTTTATCATAGTAAATGATACTAATTTGAGTGGAGACTTTCCCCGTTCAATGCATCTCTATCTTCTCCAATATATAGTTTTGGGTTTTGATTCTCTTTTGCACAGCTCCCACTCAGAGTATAACTTCTGGAGCTACACTTTGTGTATTTTTCACTTCACTTCCTTCTGAGCCAAGGAAACGTGGATTTTCCAGAAGTTTAGTGCTTTCATTGCAAAACTGTTCTTTTCTATCCTGTGGAGCTGGACTTTTGAATAGATGTTTCTTCTGGTGCATTCCCAGAGCAGCTGCTGTCTTGCAAATTTTGGGGCACTGAAAGCAAGCATATCCTTTTCCGTTGTGCTCACGGACATGCCTTTGCTCGTGGTTCCTTTTGGTAGAAAGGTACAAGAAGCTCTGAAAGCAGAACTGACAGTGGTAGCGTTTTTCTCCAGTATGAATTCTTTCATGTATTTTGAGTGTTTCATTTAAAGTGAACGCCTTATTACAGTATTGGCAGACAAAATCCTTGACACCCAGGTGAATACGTTCGTGTTTCTGTAGATTTCCAGGAACTGAGAAACATTTACCACAGGTTTTGCAAGTGTAGGGCTTTTCCCCAGTGTGACACCTCATATGCATTTTTAAAGTGGATGGACTTTGAAACTGTTTTTGGCATAACTCACAAATGTAAGGCTTTGAAGTAGCTACATGCCAGTGCACGTGTTCTTGACCTTCTGCTGTGGAAGATGGGTCTCTTTCACAGAGCTCACAATGAAGATTAGGCATTTCTGTGTTGTCTTCCTGGCTGATGGCCTTTTCCTCAGGAGCATTCCTGAGTGCATACTCTCGACTGCACGTGTTGTGGCTTTCCATAATGGTGTTCTTGCTTCCGTGCTTTTTCCTCCATTTGGTCTTTTTCATTTTTCTTAGCTGTTTCGATTTCTTTTTTGGTTTGTAATTATAATAGGGTCTCCAGGGTTTATCACTGGAGTCCTGGTCACTTACATCATCACACATTTCTGTCAGTTCCAGGCATTCTGAGCTATAAAGTCTAGACGGGCTCTTTTCTTTTACCTCTATTTCTGGTTCCTCAGTTAGATTGTCCTGCTTGGACTCATGTTTAGATTTTCGTCCCCTTTTACAAAACAGCTTGGATCCTAAAATATGTCTTTTTACAATAGCTTCATTACCAATTTTTACTGTTATTTGACACAGAGGTGCGACATTGCTGTCGGCAGACGTTCCAGGTAAGGCAGGCTTTGCAATGTATGTTTCAGTTTTACTTGATTCTTGCACAGTATTTATTGTTTTGCTTGATGAACCCCCAGATCCTGTGACATGCTGTGTATCCTCAGTTGCTTCTGCTCTGTTGTACTGCAGTGTTTTCTTTTTCTCCTTAATAGTTTTTGATTTTGTAATGCACTTCCCATAATTATCTGGTCCATACTTACCGTCATCGCTTACGGACTGACTAGGCAGATTATTTGAAGATTCTGTCTTACTGTTTTCTATGGAAGTGATTGTTTTACTGTGCATGATTACTGATGAAACTCTGCTACTGTGCATTATAACAGAGGGTGCAGAACTGCTGTAACTGATGACAGAGGTTGAATTTTCATTCACATTACTTAAAGACACAACTGAGGAATCACACTCCTGAGAACCAGAGTCATTCGCAGCAGTGGAAACTCTTTTTTCAGCTGTGAAAAAGTCCCTCTGCAAGTCAGAATTTAAGATACTTACTCCCCAAGAGGAAGAATTCTGAGTATTCGTGGAAGGTGCTGTATCATTATGTGAAGATGTATCCAAGGCCAGAGTTCTGTTGTTTGCTATTATACTATGTTGAAAATTTAGTGGTGGTAGCTCAGAGCTAAGAGAAGTCGGAATGAAGCAGTTAGCAGAAGTAGTTTCATTGGCCTGGGTAGTTGTTTGAACATTTTCATATGAAGAATTTCGGTAGGACTTGTAAGGCATTCGCCTGCATTTCATCGGTAAGAGCCTGTACAGTTTGTATGGGTACACACTGGGTTTTAAACCTCCGTTGGCTGTCTTTTTATTTACTGAGAGACGATGGTCAATTGCGTGGAAGGACTTCTGGTGATTTTTCAGTATATAGTAAGTCATGAAAGTCTCCAGACAGAAAATGCACTGATACCGCCTCTCCCCCGTGTGCCAGATCTCGTGTCTGGTGCGGTACTCAGCCAATGCAAACACTTTATTGCAGTAGTGACAAGGGTACGTTCTCCTCCACGAGTGCACATTTGCATGTCTTCGAAGGCTAGACAGTGTTACATAGCTGCGCTTGCAAACGACACAAGTGTATAATATCTGCCCATCGACCACTTTAACCAAATGATCTGTCTCTGGCAAAGTGCAGTTTGCATTAGAACGATCAGTGACACTGTTTTCAGACAACAAGGGCTCTGTGTTTGCATATGAACTTCCATTCCTTCCCTCTGTAGCAGTATAGTTATCTGCAAAATTTTGTTCTTTTCCATTGTGAACCGATAAGCTACTTGATCTCATGCAGACTTGTTCATGACTTTCCAGTATATTTAGATTTGCAAACTGTTTGCTGCAGTATTTGCATATGAAAGTTTCCTGATGCTCTGAATGGAGTTGAAGATGAGCAGTGAGCGATGCCCTGTCATTGAATGATTTTGTGCAACAGTTACAACTGTAAGCAGGTGGAATGACAGTTGTCTCAGATGCAGAAACATTAGCAGAACTGTCTTGTTCTTCTCTGGATAAATGGAAATCTCCTGCTTTATTCTGAGGTTTCGGAAAGGAAGTAATTGTCTGATCAGTAACTGCTTCATGCTGGGCTTCTGCAGTGGTTACTGTAGGGGCTGGTACTTTTGCTACAGCCAAACTCGTACTCTGGGGCTTAAAGGCTGGCTTGGGAGTACTACCTGCTTGTTTTCCCTGCTGAATGACTGGCGTGGCTTGGTGGTTTTCATAGCGGTCCTCACCCCCCTGGTATGAAGGGCTGCTGTCCTGTTCCACAAAAGGGGCTCCTTGTGAAGTGTCTCCCCCAGAAGAAACTGCATAGGAGTGTTCAGCCAAGGTACTGGCTGGCTCAGCATCTTTGCAAACATCGCTTCTGTCGAGGCTGATATTGGGAGCTTGTATTGTGTCAGAAACCTTTTTAAAGCTGGCCCTCAAATCGAGTGGAGAAAACAAACTGCTTTCTGTCTCAAAAATTGAGAATGCATTTGTAATTCGTGGTCCATTTGTCACAGCGGAGTCTTCGTGTCTCTTTTCGTGTTTTTCCTCTTTGACATTCCCCTTCTCATTAACACAGTATGCATAGGGGCAGGGGGAACTTGAAAAATTCACATCTGTAAGATCTTCCAGAAATGATATTCCCAGCTTTTTCCCTGCAGCTGCAAGGTCCGTTACAGTCTCCTGCCTCTTAACAACTACTGTGGAACTGTAGATGTAATTCAGTATTTCTGTAAACACTTCAGCTTTGAGATCATCTAACTCCAGTACGTGACCTGAAATACAGATAGTACGACTCCAAAAAATGTTTTTAAAGTAAAGGCTTGAAGCTGCCAGCACATTACTATGGGCTTTAAATTTGGTATCTTCCACAATTATGGTGACATCACACAGAATACCCCGAATGCGCTGTTCATTTAAAATGGAAAGTACAGTGTCGCTGTGGAAGTCATCCTTGAGATCCTTTGAATGGGACATGACTGTCATCTACAAGAAAAAAAAAGATATTTAGAAGGCATTTTTCATCCATTTCAGTTACAGAGTAAAGTTATAGTTTCATATAATTTTTTTTATTTATTAACGTTTACATTTTAAGAATGAGTAAATCTTGTCATATTATTTCAGGTTTAAGTCATCTTACGTTCACTGGTGCCAACAGCACTGCAGGAAATGTGTGTACAAATGAAGGAGGCAGGAGCACCAGCAGCTTCCCAGCAGGAGGCAGAGGATCCTCCCTGCCCCTGTCATTCTGTCACCCATCCCCTGCTTTTCCCTGGGGACTGTGGCTCCCAACTTTTGCTGTGCCAGGGGGTGCTCCTGCTCAGCTCACACTGAGTGACCCCGAGCCCTGGATGTGATTCCCCAGCACAGGCAGAGGGATCTGGCAGATAGAAGGGGAAGGCTGGATTGCTGTGGTTCCATGGATACGGAGGACTTTGTTTTCTGGGGCTGTTTGTCAAACAGTGACTTTACAACACAAGTGCATTTGATCCCCCTACTAAGCTGATATTTAAATCACATGCAATAGAGCTTCAGTTACAGGATAAGGCTTTCTAAACAAATGAATGCAAAAGGAACACAATGTGACAAAGAGTAGTGGAGTACATGTAACGTTATTTACATGAACAGAATATTATTTTTTAAATAGTGATTAAATTTTATTAGATAAATACTTTACTTTAAAATGACTGAAAATTTGTGAGCAAATCAAGTAGAGAATAACAATTGTTTTCTTCAGTTATAGTTTAGATTTAGTGTTCACACTTTATAATTTGATAGTGTATTCTTAATTTCTAACAAAAAAAAGGATTTAATTGCAATAGTAAATACCATTAAATTACTGCCAATACATAATAATGAGGTTTAATGATGACCAAAAAAATTATATTAGCCAGGCTATTACTGTATGAATATACTGGTTTATTCCATTGAGATGAAATATGCAAAATACAAATGAAAAACAGACTGGAAAAAATGAATTAATTTGACAAGTGAATTTGAATTTTGACAATTGAATTTTTTATCCATTTAAAATCTGTCTTAACCAGATGATTTTTCTGTTTTGTTCAAAATTCAGATCTGTATCATATAATGAGGTTTGTTCCTTTTTTTCCCCCATCTCTGTGTAGTGTTTTCAATTACTGCTGCCCATTTCTGACTTCAGGTCATGAAGAAATAGTTGTTCTACTGGCACTTACAAATCACTACAGTAAAAAAAAAAAAATCACATTATTAAAGACTCTTTTCTTTCAACTTGTGGAATCAAAATGCACCTTTAAGAAAATTACCAATGCAGATATTTTGTAAGACAGGTTAGGATAGTACAACACTGTAGTTCTGAGTTAGGGATTACTTTCTAAACATTCCATCTGCTGCTCCAAAATCCAGTGTTCAGCTGGAAAAATTTTATGATGACCCTTGCCCTGAAATAATTTACATTACAAATGACAATATATTTATTAAGATGGGTTTGATCCAAATGGCAAAATAAAGGTTTGACCCATATTCACTGAGCAAACAGCAATGGCCATTTAAAACACATTGGCTCCCTCACCCAAGCTATTGGGAAGTAATCCCTTCTGGAAAATAGGGTCTTTCTCATGAAGGTAAGTAATACTGGGCACACATCCCTGCCCTCACTAATCTAATGACACTTTGGACACTATCACAAATCCACCACCTACCCTACTGCAAATGAAATTACCAAAAAGCAATTACAACCTTAGTGTGAAGACAAACAGACTGTACTATGAACAAGACCATAAATTGGTACGTGATGGATGAAGCTTTAAAGTAAAATTTGTCCCTTGCAGCATGGCCACTGTTTCTATCAGGAAGGTGTTGTCTATGCAAATGGTCAGAGCTTCCAAAACTGTACAATGGCTAAGAATTTTCAAGGCAGGGAATTCTGAACAAACAAAATTGTGATTCACAAAAATACCTCTAATGCTTATATATGCCACAGATGTCAAGAAATTAATTCATGAGTGCAAGAATGATAGAAATGTAGATGAATATTATTTTGATTACATGACGCTCACAGTAGCTGTAAATCTAGATGCATTGTTTTTGTGCCTTTTAAACTTAAAACTGTAATTTACAATGGGTTTGTTTATGACACTTATTTTGCTTAAAATAAGAGATATTTACTCATTTGGCATGATAACCTGAAATTCACAATGCTTAGATATGGTTATCTGCTTTGGTTCAGTATCTAAAATCCCAGATATAATTGTAGATATTTCTGGAATATCAAGTCTTTTACAGAAAGCATTCTGACAAAAACACTTTCCTTCCAGCAAACAGCCACTATCCCATAATTGATTCTTTTTTCTCATTGACAATGTCTGAGATTACATCTGACTTGCTCATGTGATGTGGTATTAGAAACCAACTGTCAGACATCAAAAACATTTCACAACAGGAGCCACTGATAGGGTTATTTCCTGAGTATAGGAAATAAATGATGTCAACTCTACCTCCCAGTGAACTGCCCCACAGGAACTTGCCTGGTTTTTTTCTGTTTCTTTATTGGAGACAGCTGGTTGTAGTTCAAAGACACATCATCTGACAGACTGTTTGCTAAGTGTGTCAGCCTGCTACTGCTATGATGAGAGGCATACAAACACAAGTGGGTTTAGTACAAGTCTTATTATTCAACTTGTTATTTAAAAATTTATCCTCCTAAGGACAAAAGTGAATATTTTAAATTTCCACTTGCATGTATACAGATTGACAGTTTTTGTGGTCCTGGATATTTTGGTATGCTCAGTAAAATACCAAACTAGACTCCTTGTGTAAACATGGTAGCAACTATCATTTGCTATTTGGTAATTTAATTTTTTTTTTTTTGGCTGCATGCTAAACCATATGCTATATATCTCCCAGGAAATCTATAAAAAAAAAATCCAGAGAAAATCCATTTTCAGAGCCAACACTTTTTGCTTCTCCCATCTCCACCTACGCGCTCCCCAAATAACCCATTTATTCATATCTGTAATGATTCTTCACTGCCTTCTATTTTACCTGTCGTGCTTCTTGTATTTGCAAAAAATGTGTCTGAAATGCTATCAAATCAGAATACCCTACCTAGCACACACATAAATGGAATATTTTAGGAATGTTTTACATTCCATTTGGAGTTCATACTGTAAAATGAAAACCTGCTCTTCAGTTTCCAAGGGAGCACTACCAAGACCAAAATACACAGAGAGCAAACTCTGCAGATGTATTATTGTTAAATATTTCTGATTAAAACACAGGGAAGTCAATTTGGAATGTAACTATTCTTCTGTATGATTTTTATTATAGAATTACTGAAGAAATTCTAGTATTACTCATAAATGTTGCCCAATATATATGTAAATACCACTTGACCTATTGAAGGGCAACAAAACTCCTCAGCCGACTGAGCCATCCTTTTCTGACACAAATATGTCTGTTATTTTTACACTTTTTACTCTCAATCCAGACATAAATAATTTCTGAGGAATATGAACAGTACCTCTGTAGTACAACCTCATGGTCTTTGGCATAGCTATAGATAAACTTAGGTTATGAACAGCAGAGTTTTTTCTTGGGAGTTATGGGTTCTATTTGCAGATTTCCTGCAAAAACAGTAACAGACTTAACCTGCCATTAAGAGTTGTTGAATCGCTTTGAGAAATAAGAGTTAAATATTCATCTAAAACTTAAGTGTAATGGTCAGCAGGCTGATTAAATTACAATTGTACCCTTTCTGATATCAACAGAATACCATGGCGGGACAACAGTCGTAAGTGAAAATAAGTAATATTAAAAGTTAATGTCAGTATCAGAGATTGATGCATCCAAACACAAATTTTACTGCTCATGCCTCACAGATGGCCACTGCTAATTATAAATACTACAGCAGCCAGCTCTACATGAACAATGCTGAAACAAGAAGCTACTGTTAATTTTTATATTAATACTACTTTGAAGTCAACAAAGGGATCACAAGTTTTATTGGCCAATAAATACCAAATATATTTTTTTTTACTACCGAAGAGAACTGTTGCAATCTAGGAATATTCTTTTAACTTCTGCTAAACTTTTGAAATCCACTGCCAGGCAAGTGTGCCCCATTACATATGACAAGAGATTCTTTTATTCCACTTCAGTCGGCTAAATTTGAAACACAGGCTAGTGGCATAACTAAAAAATCCCAAAACATTAGGGGCAGTTGCTAGTACCCAGTCAAAATAAAAATGAGCAAGATAATTGATGAACTGTAGGAAGAGTTTTCCTGTTTTCTTATTCCTTAGATTTCTACTGGGATTTTGAAGATGCTAATATTTTCTGCTAGTTAGCAACATGACACTATGGAAATACATTCACTCCGTAATTTCCTCATGTTCAGTCTCACCCCACTCTGTTAACCTACTTTGCAGGGTCTCTCTCTGTTTCCAGGCTGCTTCCCAAGCTCAGAAGGGGACGTTCCCCTGTATCTAACTCTCCTAAAGGATGCCATTCTCTTCTGCAGCAGAAATGGGGGTATGCATCACCAACGAACAAAAAAACCCAAATTAAGTACACACACGCCTTATATCCCCCAGATCTGATCCCTGCTCACCTGGAACCCTGCTGTCCCACCATCCCTGTTATGACGACTGCCCAGCTTTTTATGGAATCACTTCACCAGTGCCCCCTGGGCAGTACGGCTGCCCCGGTCAGGGTCCCTGCAGCCTCCTCACAACCCCACGCACGCAGGGCCGTGTTAATGATGTCTAATGATGTTAATGATGTCTAATGATGTTAATGATGTCTCAGGATGTTAATGATGTCTAACGCCGTTCAACAGCTCGCAGGACCATGCGGGACAGCGCTCCGCTCCATGGAGCTACACCTCATTTCTACAAGTGCATTTAGAGCTTTACTCTTTTAGACTCTCACATCCTCCTCCGTTACTATCGAATACTTACTTACCTGGTCTGTTTGTTAAAGCCTCATAAGCATTATAGATTTTA